CTGGGTCTTTTATTTTTCCATATGAATTTCATGATTGCTTTCTCTTATTTCTACAAGAAATGCCGTTGGGATTTTGATTGGCATTGCATTAAACCTATAGAGAACTTTTGGTAATATTGCCATTTTGATGATGTTGGTTCTGCCTATCCATGAACAGGGTATATTTTTCCATCTTCTAAGATGATCTTCTATTTCTCTCTTTAGGGTTCTGTAGTTTTCACTGTATAAGTCTTTCACCTCTTTTGTTAGGTTGATTCCCAAGTATTTTATTTTTTTTGAAGATATTGTGAATGGAGTGGTTGTCCTCATTTCCATTTCAGAGGATTTGTCGCTGATATACAGGAATGCCTTTGATTTATGCGTGTAGATTTTATATCCTGCCACTTTGCTGAATTCATTTATTAGCTCTAATAGTTTCTTTGTAGAGCCTTTTGGGTCTGCTAGGTATAGAATCATATCATCTGCAAATAGTGATAATTTAAGTTCTTCTTTTCCTATTTTTATGCCTTTAATTTCCAGAAGTGTTTCGGTGACATTTCACAGAAACTAAGTAGGTGTGGCACAGAGAACTCTGAAGGGAACCGTATGTAGGCACACTCGTCTTTGAATTCCTCTGTTGATTTTGCAAATTTGCAGCTGGCCCTTTAGTCCCCTTGCCCCACTCACCTTGTTGTCTTCCTTTCTGAAGGGAAGACCTTGGGTGCTGGCGCCTTCGGGAAGGTGGTGGAGGCCACTGCCTATGGCCTAATTAAGTCGGATGCGGCCATGACTGTGGCTGTGAAGATGCTCAAACGTAAGTTCCTTGCAGGGTACTGCACGCGCCCAATGCCAGTTTGGCAAATTTGCCGTTTACTGAAGGGAGCTGTTTCCGGTTCTAGCGAGCGCCCACTTAACGGAGCGGGAAGCCCTCATGTCGGAGCTGAAGGTCCTGAGCTACCTCGGCAATCACATGAACATCGTCAACCTCCTCGGAGCGTGTACCATTGGAGGTGAGCCCCAGGCCCAGTTGCCTTTTATTGTCACATTATCAAGTGAGAGACATTTTAATATGACTTTGATGTTTAATTATAAACTTTTTGCAGCATTTTTACCTCGATTTTTTTTTTTTTCTCTTGCTAGATTTTGTTTTCCTTGTTGTTCTTACAATGTGGATTTTATCATTTTTATGGTTGGGAGCCTTCAGACTCTGCCTAGTTATTTTAACATGTATTATTCCTCTGTAGACTATAGTTGTCCCACTATTCTATTGACCATTAGAGCTACTTCTCCCTCCATCTATGTTTGGTTCCCATTTTCTACTCTCTGCCTCCCCCTCCCAGCCCCCAGCAGCCTCTGTCCTCCTCTCTGTTTCTATATGATCAACATTTTTATCTTGCACAAATGAGTGCGAACATGCAGTATTTATTTTCCCGTGTTTGGTTTATTATTACCTAATCTGATTCCTACATATTGTATACATGTATCAAATTATACTCCATGAAAGTACCAAATATCATATGTAAGTAGAAAAAAAGAAATATTTGGGAATTTATATCATAAGAATAAATGGATATCCAAATTGATGAATAAATGAGATTTTTAAAAAGATTTTACTTTTATCATCCTGAAGAAGAACAGCCCTGGACATTACGCCAGTTATCGTCATGTATGTTACATTGATAATGACCCTTTGGTATCTCATTCTGACCAGAAGACTTTTCTTGTTTGCCAGCTTTATATATTGCTGCATCATGCTTATTAGTGAATGAAGGGTTTATGTTCGCTTGCATACCATAATTTAAAATAGACCCCTGAGCTTCCCAGTTCTCAAATATATACCAAATGAAGCAACCTTGTCACTTTTTTAAAAATAAAATTTCCAATTCTGAAGCCTTCGTTGAGGTTCCTCCGAGATTTCTATGATGTTGGCAGCAGGCAGTTTGGTCTAAAGGAACCCAGAAGTGTGGGATGAGATGTCCTCTTTGGGACAGATCCACAAGAAGGTTGATAGCTTTTGCTACTGTCTTAAAACAGCCCCCAAACGGTGCTTTTCTGCATCTTGACTTGTTCATGAGACAGTTTCCACCCAAGGTAATTTTAGTTGCCTATGAACTTCAGAACTGCGGTTTCAAGCATCCATAACACCAAAACTCTATCTTAACTAGTAGTGCGCAGAACACGAGTCATTTCAGGTTTTCGCCCACTTTCCAGTGTGGTCTCAGCTGGCTGTTCCTAGTGGTTGATTTTCCTACTGTGCTGCAGTTTGGGCTCTTCATTTCCATAATAACATTACCAAGAGTAGGGGAAGCCCTGCTGTAAACAGAAATGAATCAAAGGCTTCATGTAGGAAGCTCGATGATGGAAGTTACTGCTTTCAAAGGTTCTGCTATCTGCAAAAGCAGCAGTCTGCTTGGCTCCTGATGCTCATGTCACTTAGAAATTCAGGTAGATAGGGGCTTGCTTGTTTTATTTTACTCCATGTGTGTCACTTTTCTGATAAGTGATGTTAATAGATAGAATTTTATGGGACTAAGTGGGCTCAGCTATGGAAGGTGGGTGTTAATGGCCATGGCAATGCTCACAGGAAGCAGAATTATCTAAGAGAGATTTCACCTGTTTCTAACCTTTTCTTATGTCTTTGTAGGACCCACCCTGGTCATTACAGAATATTGTTGCTATGGTGATCTTTTGAATTTTTTGAGAAGAAAACGTGATTCATTTATTTGTTCAAAGCAGGAAGATCAGGTAGACGCAGCACTTTATAAGAATCTTCTGCATTCAAAGGAGTCTTCCTGGTAAGACTGATTTGCATAAATAGTCAGCTGTTGACAGGCAGTTTGTGGGGTCATAAGGGTTTGCAATCAAGGCTGATTCTTTAAAAAACGAACCAGGTACTCTGAAGTGTGAAATCAGAATTATTAAATTATTTAAATGTGATTAACTGTTTAGGAAGTTCAAATAGTGTTTCTGAGGATTCAAATCATGGTGAACTTAGGTGTTTGCTGATTCTTTTTTTTTTTTAAGTGCGTGTTTAGATTTTTTTCCTAAGCCTAAATTTTCTCTGACTGAATGGATTCTGTACCTGTTTCTTTTATCATGGTTCTGTCCTTGCCTGTGTGTTTCCATTTGTACTGTTGAGCTTGGTACCATAGTATGGCTTTACAGTGAGACTGTTTATAGGAAAATGCTAGAAACTGTCAAGTTGTCACAGTAAAGTCCTTTAAAACTTCTAACAGAATGGTAAAGAGCACTGAATGCATCTCTACATGAAGGTTTTTTTGCCATCAGCCACTGAATCACCCTTATCTGACTGACTCCCCGTTGAATTCATCGCGCTCTAAGAAGCATAACTGCTGTAGCACATTTACAGAAGTTCTGGACGTAATTCTCTTCCCTTTCAGCCACAGCACCATTCTGAAGCTGAATAGCGTGTCAAGAACTTTAAGTTCTGTTGACAGGCAGCGTAGACACGTGCACAGCCTTCACTTGCCTGTTCTTCCTTTCTGAATGCTATTAAAACCCACCCTTCAAGACCTCTGAATTCACCGGGCCCAGTGACAATCCTAGTCACACCTAGTCCCTTTCCTTGTATTGCTGCAGTAATGTGCGTATTTCCCCTCTCCTTTTAAATTTTCCTCCAGAGTCTAGGGGTAGAACTCAGTTGCAGAGTGTATCCTCAGCATCTGAGAGGCCCTGGGCTCAATCCTAGAGAAAATAAAATTTTTTATCTCTTTGAAATGATAAGACTGCCTCGTGAACTCGTACCAGGCCTTGGTCAATATTATTGATAAGCAGTTACCCTTTAAAGCCATATTTTTATGCCTCTGGCTAAAGCTTAAAAGGGGGAGTTTTTTATTTTTTATGTTTTCAGTCCTAAAAACTTGAGTAAAGTGGTAGGAAAATACTGTAAAACTACCTTTCTAGTTTCTCCTGAGCATGCATTCTTTATGTGAAGACACAAGCCACTTTCTCTTATTTCTAAAAGCTTGGTCCTGTATGTATTTTTTAACTTTCTGAAACAATGGCCTGAATTGTGCAGTCCTATGTGATGTTCTTTGTGCTTTGGGATCCCATATGGGTTTGGAGCCACCAGCACACTCTGAAGGAGGTTGTTGTCATGGTGTTTCTATGCTAATCAGAAGCAGGAAGTACTAGAAATCTTGAAGACTCTCCAGCCAAATGTTGCAGATTCAAGAGGTCCAGATGGTTCAGAAAATCATCCAAATTATTGGTGTTTATCTGAACCAAACTTGGTTTTTTTAAACCTTCTCCTATCAGCCGCTATATGTTAACCATCTCCCCACTAACATGACTCCAAAGCTCTTGTTCTTCATCTTGAATCTTGGGTGGGGGGAGTGGGGGCGCTAATTTAGAAAGTTTTGAAGTTACTATGAGATCATGTTTTTGGCTCTCTGTTTCCTGTTAAACCCACCAGTTCTAGAGATGGAACACTTCTAACCCACGTCCCCACAAAAGGACATCTAATTCCTGGGAATTGCACCCTTGTATTGAATATTTAAAAGCTTACCTCTTATAGAACATGATTTTTACTCTCCAAGTATTGCTTTCCTCCAGTAAAAGCAGCCCATAATTAACAAAATGGATGAGGAGATGAATCCTGTCCTCTCGTGCTCCCCCAGCCCACCTCCCCACTCTATTCAGACATGACCTGATGGGTACTTTGTCTCTCCTAGCAATGACAGTAGTAATGAGTACATGGACATGAAGCCTGGAGTTTCTTATGTTGTCCCAACCAAAGCAGACAAAAGGAGATCTGCAAGAATAGGTGGGTACCTATATGTATACACACACTGCATTTTAAAAATTAAGTCACCAACCTGTGTCCTAAGGATTTTGTAACCCAGCCCAAGGTTGTTAAATATTGGCTTTGTATTTCACTACCTACCTTTCCTCAATACTGGGGTGGTGATTTGCCTGCAAGTTCACATCTGCTCACTGATGGTCAACCTTTGGTATTGTCATTGCCACTATCTGTTCCCAACCTTTGAAGCTGTAATTACTAAGAAAATCCCTGTCTTCCTAACAGGCTCATACATAGAAAGAGAGGTGACTCCCGCCATCATGGAGGACGATGAACTGGCCCTTGACCTGGAAGACTTGCTGAGCTTTTCTTACCAGGTGGCAAAGGGCATGGCTTTCCTCGCCTCAAAGAACGTAAGTGGGAATGATCTGGGAAGAGTCAGTCTTTTTTTTTTTTTTTCTTTTGAGAAGAGAGCATTTTAGAGCCCTAGTTAGAATGCAGAGTGTCATTTTGAAGTGTGGTAACCAAATGCAGAGGAAATTTAGTTTCTTCATGTTCCAACTGCTGTCTCTTTGGAATTCCTGTTCTAATTCATAAGCTTTAAAGTGCAAACCTGTCTAAATGAGTTTTCCATGAATATTCTTTTATATGCAGTGAATTCATTTAAAACTTTTGGCTTTAGGATATAGGATATGCTCCTTGAAAACAGTAGGATAATATTATATCAGCAAAAGCAGGGGTGTACCTCATAGTTGCTATGCTTGGTGAAGCATATATGTTAGGTTTCATTGAAGTTAGACCTGAAATATTATATGCATAGCTTATGAAGTATCAGAAAATTGGAAATCAGAGAGAATAGTAAATTTGGAAAGGATGGGAATGGGAAGAGAATGATGGGACCAAAACAAGGAACATAGATCTGGAAGGGTGAGAAGAATTCTATAAGAAATAAGAATGACCAAAAAGAACAAGGTCACAGCCCCTAATCACTGGTGACATTTCCAAACAATTACCAAACTAAAACAGTATATAGGAGAGCTGAAATAAAGACTCTGTTCCTTAGATCTTTGGGAGGTTTCAAATTGAACTTGCCAAGATATTTTAGGAGGTCCATTGAAAGGACATTAAAAGAGGTGCATGCAGAATTTTCAGTTTAAAAATTGTTACAGCTTGACTATTATATATTTTCCTATGAATGAAAGCAGTACTGGGGGGACATTTATTAGAATTAGTTTTGAAAGTGATTATAGTAATTAGGATGCTGATAATGTGAACCAAAAATGTGAACATTCAAGGCATAATTTTGATTTTTTATTTTTGGTGCACTAAATACTTTAAAACAAAAGTTTTGGATGTTTTATAATGTAAGCAGCATTCTAGTATCAAAAATAGTTTTCACTCTTTGAAAGTTAAAATGAATTTTAATGTTTTTTTTTTCCTTTTCTCCCCCAACCTATTAGTGTATTCACAGAGACTTGGCAGCCAGAAATATCCTCCTTACTCATGGTCGAATCACAAAGATTTGTGATTTTGGTCTAGCCAGAGACATCAAGAATGATTCTAATTATGTGGTTAAAGGAAATGTGAGTACCCATTCTCTGCCTGACAGTCCTGCAAACGATGTTAGTTTCAAGTTTTAATAAGAATTGTTTTCTAAGATTTTCTTAATGCAAATTCTACCTTGAAATATCATGCATTTTAGCACTCAAATTAAGTGTACTTCAGCAAAATTTGCATGGAATGTTGAACATTTCACTACTAACATTTGATAATACAATTCCTAATTCGAATTGTGTAATTATGGGGCATGTGAAGGAAACAGAAATAGCCTTAATTTTCATTATAGTCTGAGAATAGCAATGAACTTGATTTTGCTCAAGTGTAGCAAATGTAGACCTGAAGGTCACAGCAACAGAATTTTTTTTAGAGATTGACATGCTATATGAAAGTGATTACAATCTGAAATCCTGTTCAGAATTAGCTGTATAGAAATGTTGGATCTTATAATCAATAGAGGGCTATTAAGTAGGTTCATAAATAATAATTGGTTTGTAGAACATGGTAAATTTTTTCAAAGTGCTTTATTTCATTGCCGGTTTTTATTATATCCTCAGGACAAACCATGCTTTTAGAATGTGGTATCTTTTTATTTTTAATAGTTACAGAAACTAAGGCATGGTATACAATAGTGATTTTTTTTTTTTTTTTAATCTGAGATGACACTGGTCAGTAGAGGCTGAAACCCGAAATCCTGATTTTTCAGAGCAGTCTCCCATTGGTATGGAAAACGTACCCTCCTTTATATATATTCTTCTATGCTTATTTTCCCAGGCCCGTTTCCAAAGTCCAGATTTATTCCTGGAGGTAAATTTTTGTGTCCCTTACCATAATGTAACATTTTCTCCTCCATTACCGTAGCATCTCTGTTGGTAGGCTGTGCTCGACTTGGTTTTTATAAAAGTGGGCTGGGTTTAATCCCCATACCCAAGCACATCATTCTGAAAAAGCTTCCCGGAGGCAAACTATCATCACTAGGAAAGCTAATAAAATCAACTTCTCTTCCTCCTGGTCTAATACTAAGTCATTGTGATAGTACTTATGCCATAGCTTCTTATTCACTGGTTACTGTGATTGACAGGGTGGGTGAGGCCCCACCAGACCTCTAGACTGTGCACTTCAGCCCAAGTCAGTTGAACTCACCAATCACCAACATTACTCTCAGGCTACTCAGTAAAGAGAATTTATGAAGTAAGTTAAAAACAAGGAAACATAACATGTTACTGCCCCCGAATTTAAGTCATCATCATTTGAGATTTCCTTGCTATGTCAGGTTCTCTGAAAATTCTCCCATTACATGGACGTTCTTAGTCATTTTTATGCCATGGGCCCCTTCAGAGCCTAGTGAAGTGTATAGCTCCCTTGTTAGAATACTGTTTTAAATGCATAAAATAAAATTCAGAAGATTACCAAGGAAAGCCATTACACTGATTTCAGTTATCAAATTTTAAAAAGTAAATTTGTGATATGTCAATGCATACGTTTCTCTATTATACATAGAGCTACATATTCTACTACAAAACTATTGTAATTTCAAAGTGGTGATGAATGTAAATGTTGTTTTGAAATACTTGTAAATTCTAATAGGATATGAGGATATCTGTGATTACTCTTGTTGGACAAATCACGGTACTACAAATGCTACTGTGGTTTACTACCTTCATTTGTAATTTTTTAAAGAAAATGCTAAGCTACACTTAGAAGTTAGTGAAAATAGGATGTATTTTTTTTTTTTACCTTCCAAGTACACAGGCCCATAGTTCAAGATACCTATCGATCTCAGGTTAAGAGCCCCATTCTGCAGCTTTAGCACAAAATCTGGGGAGGGATATCAGAAGGCTTTTATTTATTTTTTTTTTTAAATTTTTTTAGCCAACTAAAATAACTTTAAGACTGGAAATAACTGTCTTCCCAGTTTTCAATCCTAAACGGATTAAGAAAAGGATTGATTTAGCTTTTTATGGTAGATTAATATCCAGAAATCCAGTCTCTAAGAGGAACAGTCACAGAAAGTTTTGTTAGACCTTAGTGGGAGGATTCAGGATGTGAAGTCCAACTGGTTGGATTTCAGCCCTGAACCCACCTCTCCCCAACTCAGAACAGCCATAATCATCACAAGCCATTATTGAGTACTCACTTTGCTAGGTGATTGTTTTTATTTTATTTTTATTTTTTTTAAGTATTAGAAAAGGCTAAGCATTTTTTACCCACATCTATATGCCCTGAAACAAATCATGAAAAAAAGAGAAGTGTTACTTTTTGTTTTATAGAAGAGATTCTAAGGCTTAATTATCAATATTTAAATAGTTTTTCCAATGTATTAGTGAGAGATAGTTTGGGTTGTATATGACAGAAAACAAAAGAAGGCTAAGGGTTGCAGGTGAGGGTGCTTGGAACCAATTCCTTCTATCTTTCCAAGTTTGGCCCTTCTTGGATGTAGCCCTTGTCTTCATGGTTCAGGGTAACCACCAGATAGAAAGCCAGCCATTACAACCAAAAGGCAAGGTGGAGGAAACAACACTCCAAGAAAGAGGGAAGAGGCCCACTGTATTTTAAGGAGACTTTTCTAAAGCCACCACACAACACTTCCTCACTTAATCCCAAAAAGGAAGCCTCAGTGCTACAAGTAGTCGCAAAGCAGTCTGGGAAATGTAGTCCTACTTGTGGGTAGCCATGTTTCTGTTATTACAAGGGAAACATTCACTGGCAACGGGGCGGTCCCTGCCTCACTGAAAGTCAGTGATAGAGCCAGGATAAGAACCCATGCTTGTTTGTCTGACTTCTGTGCTCTCACTCACTGTGCCGTACTGACTCCAGGTCCCCATCCTAAATGAGCCACCCATTCCACAGGTTGTGGGCATCATCTGAGGTCATGTAGGCCAAAGGTCTTGTGCGGTGGTACTCAGGTTCTCATTCCCATCTTTCCGTGGGAGAGATTTTTTGCAGGAATATTTCCTGTTCTGCTTTTTTGAGCTTCTTCATTAACATGGTTGAATCTGCTGTGCTTCCTTCCTAGGCCCGGCTTCCTGTGAAGTGGATGGCCCCAGAAAGCATCTTCAACTGTGTGTATACATTTGAAAGCGATGTCTGGTCCTATGGGATTTTTCTGTGGGAGCTCTTCTCTTTAGGTAACAGCATCCTTGATAATTACACCATTGTTAGACTCAGAAGTTCTTGAGATTTCATGAACGTGCTGCACACTTGTAATTGATGATTGTGATTTGCCAACTGTTTGTGCTTCAGGAAGCAGCCCCTACCCTGGAATGCCGGTCGATTCTAAGTTCTACAAGATGATCAAGGAAGGTTTTCGGATGCTCAGCCCTGAGCATGCCCCTGCTGAAATGTAAGGGTCAAGAAGTTTTTCTTTTAGATGATATTTTCCCCTTTCATTTTTTTTTTTTTTATGGACAGAAACTCAGATGTCGAGAGTTTACACTGTTTGAAATGTCACTTGGTTCCTTTTGTGACCACCCTGATCAAATGTCATTGCTGTAGTTTCTTTTCATAATCTCTTGTCTCCAAAACTATGGAAACTTTTGACAATGTCTCACACAGACAGTGTTTGCATATGTCATCTTGTGTCCAGGGGGATAGCCCTGGGATTCTCACGGAAGTGGTTACATGGCATTGCCTGGGAAGACAGGAGTGATAGTTAATGTCCCCGTTTTGCAGGTATGACATTATGAAGACTTGTTGGGATGCTGATCCCCTGAAAAGGCCAACGTTCAAGCAGATTGTTCAGCTTATTGAGAAGCAGATTTCAGAGAGCACCAATCATGTGAGTCCGCTGGCCAGGTGTAGAGTCCCTGTTCTCCCAGTTCCAGCTGTGTCATCCTCAGGTTCAGGGCTGGGGCTCCCCAAAACCTCCCCTTGACATGGGTTGTAAACCGGGCTTCATGTAGTGGGAGGAAAGCAATGGAAACCAGTTCTTTCTGTCCACTTCCCCTGATCTGAGCCAGAGAAGGATGAGAGACAAGGAGGGCTGTGTACTCTGAAGTGTGGAAACAGGAGTCCGCTTAAGGATTTGCCTTGTTCCCTCCTCTACCCAACTGTCAGTCAGGGGGTCAGTATGGTTTCCGTCTCATGTCAGGGCCATTCATCCCTGGGAGGGTTGGGGTGATGTCAACTAGAATAAAGGCACAGAAGCAGCAGCTTGTGACTGCAGTGAAGTTAGCCTTCTGTGCAAGTGGACATAGCCCGCAGTGGCAGAGGGCTGTCATGCCACAAGCTGTATTGAAGGAAGGAAGAGTTGTTTGAAGTTGGGAACTCCCTCCCCGTGACTTTGAGGGGGGGTGGTGGTGGTGAAAACTCAAATCCATTATTTCCTCTCCTGCTTTTAAGGAGAATTAGCGATTCTTATTTGACTCAGATTTTTTGAAGCTGCCTTTTTCCCCCTGAACTCCATGCTTGGGGCTATCTTTTCTAATAGCATGCCACTGATACTTCTGGGTTAAAGCTTGCTCTGCAGGGTGTCAAAGCATATTTCAAATTAAACAGCATTTTCCACCCAAGTGCTTTGATTCCTGACAGAAGATCCCTGGTAGAGCTATGAGCTTCTCAGCAAATTACATCTGCAGTTGGGTCGCAGTTGGCTACGGGGATTTGTAAACCTTTTTAATAGGTTAGAGAGTGCCTGTTCCCAGATGTTTCCCATCAGGAGAGCTAGACTTGCTTACGAGCTTCCACTGCTTCTTGTGTAAAATTATCATACTTATTTTTTTTGAGAGAGATTTTTTTTAATATTTATTTTTTAGTTTTCGGTGGACACAACATCTTTATTTTATTTTTATGTGGTGCTGAGGATCGAACCCAGCTACCGCTTGAGCCACATCCCCAGCCCTATTATACTTCTTGTGTAAAATTATTTCTTTGGGAAAGAGGAGAGAAATCAAATCCTGTATTTGTTTTGTTAATATGATTTGGGTATTAGCCACCAAGTTCTTGGAAACCACCTCTCTTCAACAGTCTTGGTCTGTTACTGGTGGTTCTGAAGTGATAGGTGCCCCTTGGTTGCTGTGTTCCTTGCAGGGACTGCTGTATTGACTGTGGGCTTATTTTCCTCAGATTTACTCCAATTTAGCAAACTTCAACCCCAACCCAGAGAATCCCGTGGTGGACCATTCCGTGAGGGTCAATTCCGTCGGCAGCAGTGCTTCTTCTACCCAGCCCCTGCTTGTGCACGAAGATGTCTGAGCAGAGCCAGCATATGGACAGGGTCTGCCCTGCAGGAGAAATCCCCATTCTTTTGGCTTCCATGATGGTTATTTTATTCTCCTTCGACTCGCATCCTACTCCAGGGTAGTGGGCCCCCTACTGTAATCCTGTCTTTATGAGCACACTTTAGTGGCTGATGATGATTTTTTTTTTTTTTTTTTTGGTCGTCAGCCACCATCCCATTACAAAGGTTCGAACTGTATATATTCCCAATAGCAAAGTAGCTCCTACTATAAACAGAAGGAAATTCTGATTTAAAGAAAGGTAGGGGGAGATGGGCTAGATTCCCAGAGTTCTTCCCAATGCTTCTCTAATTCTGGTCAAAAATACGGTTGATAGTTTATTAAATACATAGAAATAGTCACAGTTGGCCTATGGAACCATCCATAACGATAAGAAGATGCAGGATCAGAAACTGCAGCCTAAACCCTTTATGTAGAAAATAGAACATCATTAGAACAAAGGACACAAGCAGGAACATCTGGGCTTGAGAAATCTAGTATTTCATGCTGAGAATGAGACCTAGGCCATGGAAAAATGCCCCCCAAACAGGAATAAAGACACTCTGCTGTGGACCACTGCATGAGCTTTTGTATAACTGACCTGATTTTTGAAATAGAGTTTGCTATTAGGGAGTTGAATTGGAGACAAGGCCTCCCTAGCCAGCGATTGTATATACTCATCAATAGGTTGTACGCATTCACACGTTGGAGGGGGGAACCCACGAGGTTTGGTTTCTGTGTACAACCCTGGTGTTGTGTCCATTGTGTATAGGAATAGATGAAGAGCCAAACAAGCTCAAAGGAAACAGTTAATACTGACTTGATTGTTTGTTAAGGGAAAAAAAAAAAAAAAAAAAACATGTAACTGCCAAGCACAGTCTTAATAAAACCTCCTCTTTTTAGCCAATGAACTTGCTCTACAGATTCTCCAGAACAAGCCTCCTAGCTGCAGAATGGCATTGTACCCAATGGATTTGATGCTGTTTGAAAAAGTGACTGGTTTACCATAGCACGATTCCCGCAGGAAGGAGAAAGCAATGCTATCTTAGTGTGGAATCTGATGTTAAAGATTCTGGTGTAAAGCTGGAAGTGAAAGATTCAGCCTCCTTTACAGACATATCCTGGATGTTGGGCCAGTATCTGTATACCTGCGTATGCATGTGCTTGTGTGAATGCGTGTAGACAAGGGAGCATTTTTGACTTGAGTCCAAGAGGGTCCTTCAGTACCCGAGGAGTAACTTGGCTTCCTTCATCAGTCCTATTTCTCTGCTGTCTAGAGTAGCTTGCCAGAAGCTGGCATAGAGGCTATCAGAAGCAGAGTGCCTAAGGACCTATTTATCTGCCGTCCACCCGCACTTAAGGCACTCTGTTATTTATACTCAACATACTGTACCCATTGCTTAGACGTTATGTAATGCTACTGTTCCACTGAAACGTATTTAAATTCTACCCTTTAGGCTGTAACCTGGATATTATTCTTGTAGTTTACCTGACCCCCGCTTCTCATCACCGCCCAATAGAAGAAGTAAATGCATACATAGCAAGATTGGTGTGTTGTCTTGCAAGGGTCAGGTCTCCTCCTTCACAATTCCCCTCATCCACCCCTTAGAGTACATTCAGAGAAGTGTGGCCATCGATCTGGAAGTGACCATTTGCACTGGAGTTCTATGCTCTCGCACCTTTCCAAAGTTAACAGGTTTTGGGGTTGTGTTGTCATGTAAGAGATTGTCGCCGTTTGCCATACTTTGTCCAAAAATTTCCTTTGTGTTCCCATTGACTTTGATCATGGTAAGAAAAGTAGTTGTTAATTGTAGATGTCTAGGTACTTCAGGGCACTTCATTAAGAGTTTTGTCTTGAATATTCTTGAAAGTTTATATTTTTATAATTTTTTTTACATCAGATGTTTCTTTGCAGTTGCTTAATGTTTGAAATTATTTTGTGGCTTTTTTTGTAAATATTGAAATGTAGCAATAATGTCTTGAATATTCCCAAGCCCGTGAGTCCTTGAAAATATTTTTTATATATACAGTAACTTTATGTGTAAATATATACACGGTGCAAGTTTAATGGATGTTGGTGTTTCATGTGTTTTATTTCCTGATATGTTGTCCAATTGTTGACAATTCTGAAAAAATCTAATAAAAATGTAAATATATAAATCAAATGATATTTTGAAATTTCTTAAAGTGCTTTCACCCTGACAGAAAATTTCACACCCATTTTGCATAAAACACATGCAGGGCGGTCAGATCACACTAGGACTTATATACTTGAAAATTGAATTGATATTTATTAAAGAATTTTGGTAGGCACTACCTTTTCTCATTTTTATTCCTACAGCCTGGGGCCTGTATTTCAATTGAAAAGCAAATGTAGAAAACATCTTGAATTTTGCACATAGCCATGATGATTAGTTTGAATCACAGGAAATGACCATGTTTGTCAGTAAAGTAGCAGTCAAATAACAGCAATTTCAAATCCAACCTAATGTCCCTGGCAAGTTTCCTCCAAAAAGAGATTGTCTAAGAATTAACTTGAATAGTCAAGTAACACAGGGTGACATGGGGAATCCCAAGGAAGCTGATCCTATTCTCCTTGCCTTAGGTTTTGAAGACAAGTTATTACATCATGAGATATTTGTGTTCTATCCTCAGTCCTTATTGGCTTCTGGGACAGAGTTAAGTTATATCCCTATGTTAGTCAGCTTTTCATCACTGTGACCAAACTACATGATAAGAACAATGTAGAGGAGGAAAGGTTTATTTGGAGCTCACAGTTTTAGAGGTTCGGTCCATGGTGGGCAGCTCCATTGCTCTGGGCCCAAGGATAGGCAGAACATCATGGCAGAGGAAAATTGTTCAGCTCCAGACAAATGGAAAGCAAAGGGAGAGAGGGGAAGGAACCAGAGAGAGGATACAATCCCCAAGGGCATGTCTCCCCAGCGACCCACTTCCAGCTATGCCCCCCTGCCTAGAGTCACTCCCTAGTAATCCTTTTAAATGATTAATTTATAGATGAGGTTACAGCTCTCCTAATTCTCTGAACAATCCTGTGTTAGCTAACCCATATCCAAATCATAACAGTCACTCACTTGGAGGGGGGGTGCCTTGAGTTGGCCATAGTCATGTGACTGGACCATTCTGTGGGACCAGATGGTACTGTTGAGTACCACTGGAACCTGTAAGAGTTCTCCCAGTTTAAACTTAAAGACCACCCTGAACCATGTAATCCTATAAGAATGGGTTAGGCACCTCAACACCATCAGTCTTGACTTCCTTTATGATTGTGACATCTATAGATGATAAATTGTCTCCTGGGGGTAAGGGTAAGGGATAAAAGGTGACTGTAATGAAGGGCATTACAACTTTTCAACTTGGGAGGAAATTGTGTGGCCAGGAACATCAATAATCAGAGAAAAACAGACCCGTGATTATCATTATTTTATTGCAGACAGGAATGGGTGATAATCACAAAATGAAGTTCTTTCCAGATGTTTACATGGTCATTCAGCCTTTTTCCTGTATATGAAATCTTGAGTCAGAAACAAAGAGCCCACAGGTTTAATTATTAGTCTGTGGCTGTTCCCTCACTAGCCCAGCTTTTCATTGCAAAGTAATATCAGGCTCTTGATGTCCAAGCTGGGTTCAAATCCTGGTTCCAGTCATGTCTGTACCATGACTGCTGTGTAATGTTGGACAGATTAGCTCTTGAAATCTCAGTTCCACATTACATAACATCTACCATGATGTATGAAACTGTCGAGGTCACTTTGTTCACATGCCTAATGTGTAAATAGTATTCCAAAATGGTAACTCTGGTCATGGCAAATTAGGCTTATTAAATTGGAAAGAGGAAGCACAGTAGACCCTTACTGGATAGCTCAGTAGAATTACATAATCAAACATTCAACTTAATCATGGTTTTTTTCCTAAATGCAAACAACATTGCACTAGAATGCTAGGAAGCTTGATTTTGATGTAGTGTCTTCTAGGCTCTTACTAAAATTCTGCAATTTAGCTGGTCATCAAAGACTCTGTGTTCTTGCTCCAACCTTCCTTCTGGATTTCCCTTTCTACAACTGTGGACCTGTGAGTATGCCTCACAACTCTTCTGCTTCCATTCTCGGCCTTCTGTCTTAAATAACTGACTTTCAAGGCCCGCAAAACTCTCTTCCTAAATTCCCACAACACCTGGATGTTCTTTTGCTCGTACAGTGGATTTTGCCTTGTACTGTAGCTATTTTGGCTCTTTCCTACCCCCACTATATCCAGACTTAATTAACAAAATACCCAGATGCTCTTGGGTCACTGGCTTCATTGGTATCATTTACTTGCTCAAATATTGAATTATCCAGACATGCTGAGATTAAATTGCCCAAGAGGTTGCAAGAGTTCATTAAGACTTAGTAGTAGTGCACAGAGCCAGAATTTGTATCCAGATCCAAGCCTCGGCCTTTCAATGATGGCAAATGCCTGGTCTTCCCAGGCTGGCATCTCCCACTGCCCTGACCATGCAAGACATCACTCATCCATCCCAGCACTCATCCCGGCCTCCCTTAGGAGTCTGAGCCTTGTCATGAAGCCCATACAAATCAACTGAAGGCCTGAGGACAGACTTCCCTGTCACACTTAAAAGATGACCACGTCCTATGTTCTTGGGGAACACATCTCCATTCCAGATGCCTCTGACACTGCTAGCACAGTGCTCCATGAATGGTTAATTAATACTTGTTGAACAAATAATGTTTTATCGTTGGGAGTAAAGGAGAGCCAGCTGGGAGGACATGGCTCCAGTAAAAAATGGACAAAAACATATAACAAAACTCTTTGTCCAGGGTGGGCCTTCATTTTACACTGGGAATGAGAAGCATGCATGGCTTTAGGAAGTTCCTCTGCCTGACCCTTACCAAGACCTACACAACTCTCTTTGTGGGAATTTTAGAGGAGAAGTGAATAAAAGGAGTGCTTGGGTAGATGGGTAAGTGTGGAGAGGAAGTTCTCTTCCTATTCAGAAATGGGTAGAGGGGCTAACGCTGCCAAGTAGAAGCCCGTGGGCTTGAACTATAGAAGCAGGAGACTGCTACCCCAGACCTGACCTTGGAGAGGGTCAGCAGAGCCAGCACCTGCCAGGAGGAACGCCCTACAGGAGCACTCTGGACCAGCTGGGCAGCCTTCTGGTGAATTGTAGAAAGGAAATGGTATTGATTTGCTGGGGCTGCCATACAAGGTACTTCAACTGGCTGACCTCAACAGCAGAGATCTGATTGCCTCACAGTTTTGAAGGAAGAGTTGGCTCCTTATGATGATTGAAAGAGCATCTTTCCCACACCACTCTGCTATCTTCTTGGGGGTTACTGGCCGTCTTTGGTATTTCTTGGCTTATAGATCACTGCCTTCATCTTTATGTGTCACTATCCCTGTGTCATCTTGTCCCATTCCTCCTTTTTACAAGGACA